CCTGTCTGGTAAAATTTTGTGAAGTAATAAAATGCTCAACCATTATGATCGAAGAGTATTCGATCAAATTATTAGTTTTCATCAGATAATATTAGAACCATATATCGACAGCTCTTATATTATTCGATATATGAAAATCAAAACATCTCTTTAATGAAAAATATTAATTATTCAAATCATATATAAATATATAAATGATAAAATAATAAAGGTTCCAGCAAATCTTCATTTGATACATGCATGCATTAAAACAAAATATTTCTAGTTTTTGACGTCAGCTCCCAGAATTGAACAAGGTACATGTATGTGGTTGATACATGCAGTTTCATGAACAAGTAAACCAATAAAAACGAAATACATGTAATACAGGTACATGTACATATTAGAAAATAAAATATTATAAATCAAATAAGTACATGTACAAATTAGCCAAATTTATTGCATACTTTACAATTTACTACATGTTATCTTTTCTTTTGAAACTATAGCAATAGCCGCTGACCTCGGTTTTCCACTTACAGCCAAGCATAAATGAATGTAGTATGTAGTATGCCGACACATTTCTATTTAGAGAAATACCCCATCCAATCTAACTGTATCGAGAATGCAAATTAAGGATAACCAAATAAAAGATGTAAATGTTATGATAATGAAATGACGCCTTACATGCATGTTGCACAACATTAAAATTCTATAAAGAATGTACTGGAACTTTTCAGATTGTCATTTTTTTTGTGAGCATTTCTAAAAACGATGAATTCACTCCCAACAGAAATACTTCAGCAAATTTTCGCTGAAACTTTATACAATGAAAAATCATTTACAACCCGAGAACTTTATTCTTGCATCTTAGTGAATCGTCAATGGTGTATGACCGGAATTCCTATGTTGTGGAGTCACCCCTTCCATCCGGATAGTCGTATAGCACAACAAGCGAAATTAGTTGACGTATATTTATCGTTTCTCATGACTCATAATTGCCCCGAAGAAATTCAACAAACTCTTTCTTTATTCGAGAAAAAACAACAAAAACAGTTGTATTGTAAAATTAAATCGAAAATCGAGAATAACAATGATTCGGCTTTCGTATATCCATACTTCGCGAATACTATTGATTTTAATCGCATGAT